CTTGTTACTAGTAGTAATTCACTTGTTACTACTAGTAAGGCACTTGTCACTAGTAGTAACAATGTTTGCTATTTAAGGGCTTACGCCCGACAGCCGGCCAGGGGCCGAAGCAAAGGGGAGGGGGTTGTTGTTGTTGGCACATGTTGGGTGCCATGTTGGCCCAAAGTCGGGGCTGTGTTGGCCACTCTTGGGCTATCTTTGGGCTCTGTGGGGCCATCTTGAGGCTATGTTTGGCCTATCTGGGCCCTATGCTGCCCCACCTTGACCTTCTGTTGGCCCATCTTAGACATATGTCGTCCGATCTTGCCTCTGTGTTGGCCCAAACAAAGAGGAAACGCAAAAAACCTTGGAAAGCCGATGGAAAACCAAGGTTTTCGGCAACCATCTTGGGGCTAGGTTGGCCCATCTTGGAGGCTATGTTGGCCCATCTTGGGGCTATGTTGGCCCATCTTGGGGTTATCTTGACCCAGCTTGGGGGCTATGTTGGCCCATCTTGACCCTATGTTGGCCATGTTGGCCCAACTTGGGCACTTTTTTCGGCTTATGTTGGGCCATGTTGGCCCATCTTGAGCCACAAAGCCGGAAAAATGCAAGAAGCAGAAAACACTGTAAAACGCGGGACTGCGCATGGGTCGAGCAGGGGTCGGCGGCAGGGGCGGGACTCCACTCTCTCCTTCGGAGAGGAGAGACGCCTACGGCAAGGACACGGCCAGCGGGCCCCTGGCCGGATTTACCAGGCTACCGCCTGCAGCCGCCGACCCCCAAGGGATAGAACCTTAGCGCTAGCCTTGCTCTATGTTAGCCTTAAGCCTTAGCCTTAGCCTTAAGAGTGCAGACCCAACCCAGCACGACCAAAGCAGGTACCCAAAAAGTCGACTTTTTGGGTACCTCCCAGATATACCATCGGACGTCAGCTCTTGCATGAACCCCGATCATTGCCCAAGAATTTAGACCCAACCCTTCACCACCAAAGCAGGTACCCAAAAAGTCGACTTTTTGGGTACCTCCCAGGTTTACCAATTTAGACCCAACCCAGCACCACCAAAGCAGGTACCCAAAAAGACAAAGCCTAGAGCATTCCTAGGAAAATGCCAGAAAATCTCATAAACCAACAGAAAACGTGACAAAATCTACAAAAAAAACAAGGGCATTGGCCGGGACCATGCCGCGACCAGCCCGGGATTCGAGCCCAGGACCATTTTGGACCGTGCTTATTTTCCCGCGCGGGTCGAGAGGGTGCCCCAAGATGTAAATCAATTGGGATGGCAGAATCTTGGACAATTCCCGGGTCGCTCAGGTAGCTTTCAGGGCACAATTTCGTAACTCCAACAAGGGTCCGGAGGGGTAGGGGAGGTAAGGTCTAGGTCTAGGTCTAAGGCTAAGGACTAGGTCTGAGGCTAAGGATAAGGCCTAAGGCTAAGGCTTAAGGCTAAGGCTAACATCGGACGTCGTCGCTTGCATGAACCCCGTGATGCTCACCCCTTCTCCCCATAACGGATATCGTTGCCTTAGAGTTCAGACCCATCACCACCACAGCATCACCAAAGCAGGTACCCAAAAAGTCGACTTTTTGGGTACCGCCCAGATTTACCTTCGGACGTCATCGCTTGCATGAACCCCGTGATGCTGAAAAGGCAAGGGCATTGGCCGGGACCATGCCGCGACCAGCCCGGGATTCGAGCCCAGGACCATTTTGGACCGTGCTTATTTTCCCGCGCGGGTCGAGAGGGTGCCCCAAGATGTAAATCAATTGGGATGGCAGATTCTTGGACAATCCAGGTCGCTTTCCCGGCAGGATTTCGTCACTCCAACAAGGGTCCGGAGGGGTAGGGGAGGTAAGGTCTAGGTCTAAGGCTAAGGACTAGGTCTAAGGTCTAAGGCTAAGGCTAAGGCTTAAGGCTAAGGCTAACATCGACAGTCACGCCTCACCCCACGGTGTGGGGTCGGCGGATTAGTTAATTTTAGCTTTTAGTTTAATTCTAATAGCTTCTTGTTACTAGTAGTAAGGCACTTGTTACTACTAGTAAGGCACTTGATACTAGTAGTAACAATGTTTGCTATTAGTTAGTTTAATTTACTTTGCTTTAATTCTAATAGCTTCTTGTTACTAGTAGTATTTCACTTGTTACTACTAGTAAGGCACTTGTTACTATGCGTTTGCAAACCATTGCAAATGTGAAGGAGTTCTTCGTCTCGTGTTCCGGGTGCTTTCCTGAAGGATTTGGATGAGCGAAAAGCATCTATGATGGCGGTGGTCTCTCACGAGCTCAAGTCGCCTCTCCATGGTATCCTTGGCCTTTGCAATTCGCTCTTGGAGGATGACGAAACACCTTTCCAGGTGAAGAAGCCATTGTCCATGATGAACAGCTGCACCAAGCGATTGCTTGACATGGTCAGCAATATCATGGATGCGTCTCTTGCTTGCACCCACCAGGCTAGATTGGAGGCCGCTCTTGGGTTGGAGGCCATCGCGTCTAGGGAGGCCAGTGCTACTAGGTTCGAGAGTTTGGCCTACCCAGACCGTACCTTGAAGTTGGTAGACTGAGGTCAGTGCTGGTCCATGACCAGAAGATGCGAATGTCAAAAGACCCGGTTCAGATCCAAACAGTTGTTGAGGAGGTTATCACACTCTCTCAGCAATCCAGTGGAGAGGTAGGGTCTCATGCCCTATCACCAGGCCAGATGGAGGATGATATGACTGCATATGTATGAAAAAAAGGCCGTGCAAAGCTGACCTAGCACGGAAGAAACCACACTTTTTGACACCCACAGACACCAGGTGTGCACTTGATCAACGAGGTCTTTGCGCCCTTGCCAGTGATAGAGGCTGATCGGTATAGAGTCACACAGATGCTCTACAACCTGGTGACAAATGCCATCAAGTCACCCCTCTTGCTTTACTCAAGCGCGTCAAGAATTGCAAAACGCGTCAAGAAAAGACGAAAACGCGGCCTTTTGTGGGAGTCCAGTTTCGAAAGTCCTGAGGTTTACCCACAAAGGCTCTATCATCGTGTCTGCTAGTGCGGATGATGAACGGAAGATGGTGAAAGTTGATGTGAGGGACACAGGCATTGGCATCGCGCAAGAGAACATTGACAGGATATTTCAGCCTTTCGATCAAGAGGACCGTTGATGATCTTCCAAGAATATGGCGGGGTTCAAGGGTGCACAATGATATCCTGTAGGTTGGAGGCCACCACTAGCAGGTTGGAGGCAAGAGTCCTTTTGATTAACTTGTCCAGGACAGTTCGGACAGCAGACGCTATGGTGGCTTGGGGTTGGGCTTGTCCATTTGCCGCGAGGCAGGGTGTTTGAGCTTTCATCACCCTTTTGTGCGCCTGTTTTTGGCGTAGCAGATGCTGGTTCACCCGATGCTGTCGTTTTCTAGCTCACCCAAGGTTGCAGCAAGACATGGTGGAGAAATCTCCGTAGAGTCGGTGCGTGGGCAAGGATCCACTTTCAGCATCTTAGCTGCAGTCGTCCTGCTTTCCGCAGAGACGCGAGCGAATCTGAAACAGATCTCAGGAGTCGTCTTTCGCAGTCTCGTTGTTACGCAATCGTACATGAGACATACTTGTGCCTCAGGCGTTGTTCTTCCATACAAGATGCACTCAGTCAGCCAGGACCTTTGGCCGATTCAGCCACTGGGTGTCATGTGCTCTCACTAGGTTGGAGGCCATCGCTAGTACATTGGAGGCCATTGCTTGTGGTTGGAGGCCATCGCTATGAGGTTGGAGGCCATCCCTACTAGGTTGGAGGCCACTGCTAGCACATTGGAGGCCATTGCTCATGGTTGGAGACCATCGCTAGCATATTGGAGGTATCAACTTGGTTGTCCACAAGCCCACGAAGTCTCGTCCAAGTTCACACGAAATCGGATCACCTGTTTCCATATGTCGTAGCACGGGGTGGCGTCAAGGGCCCTGTATTGATCCGAGATATGTCGGTCGGACGAAAATCGATCAAACACATGTATGCGATATGCATGCGATATGCAGGAATTGACACAGGAGGAAAGCTCTTTCGTTCGAGCCCATCTCGACCATGTAAAATTCCTTTTGGAGAAAATACAAAATTTGGCCTTGACGCCATTGCTCTTTTCACCTGTTGTAAAAATCGCTCTGAAACTCGTATGAGCCGTGAGCATGGTCAGGTAGAGCAACCAACCTATTGCGCGCCGAACTGAAAGTGAACGGTGTCTGGCACACCTTGTCTTTGACTTCCCAATCACTCACTCTTTGTCGAAAGCGCTCCATGCCTTCCAACTGCTCAAGCCTTTCTTTTCTGGCCAGGGTGCGTTCCAACAACTCAATCTGTTCTTTCTGTTTCTTCACCTTTGCACTCACTTCAATCATGAAGAGCATCCTTTCATTGCAATGCCGATTCCAGATGCGAATCTGGTCCGAAGTGCAACCTGCGGTGTCCTCAATGTCCAACAATTTCTTGTAAGACTCGCAACGAGTATCTGTCCAGTTCTCCTCAATCATTGTTCCTCTCATAGCGCTGTCGATCATGGGGTGCTGGTAGTTGAGGACCACTTCATGTAGAATTTTCTTCCACTTCCTTTGTCCTCTTTCGTTCTCCACACTTTCTTTGATCTGGTACCAACGATCCCACTCTTCTGGTGACACTTCTGGGTCATCGTTCCCAGAAGAGCTTCCGGCATCATCATCATTCACCTGGTTGTTCTGTGCAGCTTCCATCTCCACAATTGCGCCATAGCTAGGATCCGAGTCATTCTCTGGAACCTCATCGTTTTCATTCACCTCATTTCTTCAATCGTGCTCTCATTCTCCATCACTGGCTGTGGGAAAAGAACTTGCACAATGTTCAAAAACCACCTGTATGCTTTGTAGGCAACGTTCTGCGTGCCAATGAATGAAAACAGGAAAATCACCAACAATGTCAACACAACTTTGAAGTCATCGGTTGCAGTGTTTCCCGATGCTGTCTGATTCGTGTCAGCTGCTTCAACACCTGCTTCCTCTGCACCTTGTGTTGCCAATGTAAAGATTGCCATCTGTGCTGCTTTCTTATGGTTGGAATTGACAGGAGGCCATTGCTTATGGTTGGAGGCCATCGCTATTAGGGTGGAGGCCATCCCTAGTACACTGGCGGCCATTACTTATGGTTGGAGGCCATCGCTAGTACATTGGAGGCCATTGCTCATGGTTGGAGGCCATCGCTATTAGGTTGGAGGCCATCCCTACTAGGT